TATAATGCTGACGACTTTGTTGCACAATGACATGCTGGTGAGATAATTTTGTTTTCGTTTCAAAAGTATCTGTCTGCATGTAAATTATTTTCCTCCCCCAGGTTTTAAACTGCCCGTGGTAGCTATTGCATATTGCCAGCGACTTTGTTTAGGTCTCTGTTATAGCTTACAGTCTAAGCATCATTCTTCTGAAAAGGGTTGCTTATGCATCAGATGTAATGAATAAAACTATGGGAGAAGTTAAGTCCATTTGAGGAAGAAATAAACAATAACCCGAAGAAATTAAAAAAAAATCAACTATTAAAAGGCAAGAATATACATATACAGGCATGTAGTATCATTTGTATCAGCCAGAAAAATTATTTTACACTTAATTGAAAAAATGTTCACAATACTCCCTGTCTGTTTTATGATAGGAATTATAATTTTAGGCATCAAGTAAATTTTAGAACAATGTCCACACATTCACCTATTAAAAAAAATGAAGATATATTGAAAGACTTTTAAAGAATTGATTTTTTAAAATATATTTTGACCAACATCACAAAATTTATATAAGTGGCCCAAACTGGCAGATGATGAAATAAGCAATTAAATGTTCTACTTTCCTATTTGTTTTAAAGCATTATGTGTCCAGTGGTAAGGAGCCTATTTGAATAGCATAAAAAAGAATGTACAAATGTTAATAATTGATTTATCCAAAAAATTTTTTTATTTCCTTCTCCTTCGGGTCTTTTTCATTCTCACGTTCATAACTAAACCTAAACATAAAAAAAAATGCTGGCCTTATAATGAAGAAAGGGGCCTCTTTCAAAATAGATAATTTCAGGGCCGCTGGGTCAGGGGTACCAGGGGGGTACTTTGACTAAAAATAAATTAATGCTTTGAAATCTGCCCTTTGATGAGCAATGGTGCCTCCTTCAAATTTGTGAATTTCATGGCTTTTGGATTAAAACACGAACCAAATACAATCGCTGGAAAGTTGTTACATGATAGTCAGGTGACCTATAAGGCCCGTGGGCCTCTTGTTAAATGAAGAGTAAGTTACCTGTATCAACTTCGAATTGTACGGCGCCGCTGGAGGGCCAGGTAAAAAAATATTTTTATTTGTTCGGACAAATTAGATATTCGTTTGGACGAATTAGATATTCGTTCGGACGAATTAGATATTCGTTCGGACGAATTAGAAATTTGTTCGGACAAATTAGAAATTCGTTCGGATGAATTAGTTATTTGTTCGGACGAACTAGATATTCGTTCGGACAAATTAGAAATTTGTTCGGACGAATTAGAAATTTGTTCGGACAAATAAGTTATTTGTTCGGACAAATTATAAATTCGTTCGGACGAAAAAAATATTCGTTCGGACAAATTAGAAATTCGTTCGGACGAATTAGAAATTTGTTCGGACATATAAGTTATTTGTTCGGACAAATTAGATATTCGTTCGGACAAATTAGAAATTCTTTCGGACGAATTAGAAATTTGTTCAGACATATAAGTTATTTGTTCGGAAAAATTAGATATTTGTTCGGACAAATTAGAAATTCGTTCGGACGAATTAGTTATTTGTTCGGACGAATAAAATGTTCGTTCAGACGAATTAGAAATTTGTTCGGACGGATTAGATATTTGTTCGGACAAATCAGATGTTTGCACAAATCATCTTGTAAAGAGAGATATACAATTTGTCTATTCAGGAAGATTCATCCCTTTTTAATACATAAATAGCTCTTTGGACCATGACATACACACGTTGCAACTAGAAATGTGCTATTAAAGTCGGGTATGTTGATTGTAAATATTCTGAAATAATGGCTCTATACCGGTATATATTATAGGCCTAAAGTCTGCCATTCTGAAAGTATATTATCTTTGAGCCCACTAGTAAATTCAAAGTGTCAAACAGCTTTTCACTCCCATCCCTGACACACTCATAAGATTTGTCATAAACAAACAATCTGGTTCTACCAGACCAACTTTTGCTGGTGGTGTTAAATTGGTAAGCCCCCCCCCCCCCACGAAATAGGACTGTCAACTTTAGGCAACTTTTCCTGTGTCCCCCTTTTTTTTTGCTTGTCAATTTTTTTTCTAAGCCCCCCCCCCCACTTTCAAAGACGCTGCAACGTGGCTGTATTGTATCATATAAGATAAACTTCGGACTCAAAATATGAAGCCTCTCATTCGATGGGTCTTAATTTTTTTAAGGTGGGGCTTACTACCTAGAACATTTGTAGTTTGGCTTCTATACCGCTGTTCCCACATTTAAGTATTTTGTGATAAAGGAACAAAAAGAGGGAATCTCATAAGTCCATTTCCAATGGATTCTTTCTAAGATCGATAAAAACTATTAATAAGTATCTATATAAATTTTGTTTTATATTTCAATATCAGAAAAGCGCATGAATTAAAACATGCAGGTATAATATTGACCAAATTAAACACACGCCCTTTTCCAGGAAAAGGATAAAAAAAAATATAGATGAATACATGTAGATCTACGTTCCTAGAAAGTGCAGTAAAAATTAAAAACACATCATAATTTAATGCAAGTTAAGCTTCTCAATGATTAAGACAATCGATCGTTTTTAAATAGGGGGGGGGGGGGGGGTTGTTACTTGAAAATATTTTGACAATCATTCATTCATGATTTATTTTCCCCATAAAAGGGGTTGGTTTCATAATTCCTCTTTCTAGTGAGTCATTGGCCTATCAAACCTTCGAACTGGTATTCAACTGTAAAAGCGTTTAAACAAAATTAAGAAATGCTGAAAGTGAAATTAAATAGTTTGTTCGACTACATGAACCTCTCCAATAAGGGGAGGGGGCTATAATTATGCTCTGTAAATCAATGGACTAGGGAATATACCAGACTGACCGGTTGACATCTTAATTCACCGGCTCGCGCGTCATAGGAACAACCTGAGATCAATACGAACAGGTTCATTTTTGTGAAGTTTTCTTAATTCACAAACAGGAATATTTAATTAAAAACTCATTGAGGACCTTTTTTCATTTTATACACCGCATATGTACCAGATTGATTGATTGAATGTTTTACGCCGAATCGGCAATATTTCAGCTACATATCGGCGACATATGTATCAGAAATGTATTTCAAAAATCATTTAGATGTCATGATTAATAAATTGCAGGGTAGTGAATATGTACATAAAATTATAAGAAAGAGGTCAACATTAAAACGACTTATCTTCAAAATATATATTGATGATGTTGTTCATTAAAGTTATTTTCAAAGAATCAAAATAAAATGAACCATCTTGGTGCAAATCGCACATTAATCGCGGTGTCCTGACAGTTGTTCACATTTTCTCTAATTTGTCCGAACAAATAACTAATTCGTCCGAACGAATTTCTAATTCGTCCGTACAAATAACTAATTTGTCCGAACGAATTTCTAATTCGTCCGAACAAATAACTAATTCGTCCGAACGAATTTCTAATTCGTCCGAACAAATATCTAATTTGTCCGAACAAATATCTAATTCGTCCGAACAAATATCTAATTTGTTCGAACAAATAACCTATTTGTCCGAACAAATTTCTAATTCGTCCGAACAAATTTCTAATTCGTCCGAACAAATTTCTAATTCGTCCGAACGAATTTCTAATTTGTCCGAACGAATATCTAATTCTAATTCGTCCGAACGAATTTCTAATTTGTCCGAACGAATATCTAATTCGTCCGAACAAATAACTAATTCGTCCGAACGAATTTCTAATTTGTCCGAACAAATATAAATATTTTTTTACCTGGCCCTCCAGCAGCGCCGTAGAATTGCGTTGTGTTCTGTTGAAGGAAATATTCTTCTAATATGTTACACGTGCGTGCATGAATTTAATTTGTTTTAATTTTAGTTTACTTTTTATGAGAGCTTCCTACTTCTTTCAAGTAAATATAAATTAATAAAATTGCTTTTATATTCTCAAGTTTTCATTAAACAAATTACACACATTACATTAGTTAAATGCATTTTCTTTTGCTTGTTCTTGTTGCTTAAACCACTTAAGGAAAACAAAACTTAAGTTTCTCAATTCTTTTTGCCAGGATAAATGACAAGAAGTGAAACAAAAGAATGTATAATATTATATAAGTTACAATAAAGTTTGGATAAGGTCATTGATAAAAAATTTCAATTAAGATATGTTACATTGCAACCAAGTACTTATCCAAGCGATTGTATAGATAATGTTAGAATGGTTTGTCCAGCAAGAAGGTAGCGTACAAAAAAGGAGTCAGAAGGCATACTACATGAAAATGATTACATGGCGCATGGAGCACCACCAAAGTAAAAGGCATTTTATTTGAATAACATTGAAATAAAAATTGCCAAAAAAGGACGATTTGTTGAAATTATTGAATTGTCTTTAATTGACTATGGTAAAACTACATGCATGTAATCAAATTTACAATTAACTGAATAAAATTTCAGATTGTATTAAAACAAGTTATTATTAGTATAATGCATACATAGTGGTGCATAAACATGAACAGACATGTGTATTTAAATGACTAAACATATACATGCATGGACTAAATACATTTCATATTAGCATTCTTATGCTGACCTAATGGAGACAATTCATGGAAAAATTATGTTGAGGTTGAACATACGACAAGAACGCAGGAAGATATCATGCAATTTACATGAGAAGCAATATGCTGACCCCATGTACCGTAGCTCACATTAAATGCAGGCAGATTTTAACATACAAATAACATAAGCAGCCATTCGCCGACAACTTGTATTTTAACTCACTTCAAAGCTTGAAAATTTTAACATAGAATTACATAAACAGCAATATGTTGACATCGTGTATCATATATCACAGTCAATGCAGTCATGTGCAGATCTCATGTATCTTAGGTCAAGTAAATACAATTTATTCTCGTTTGAAGATTTTTAGTTCTTATCAGGTAAAGTATGAACTCATAATCTAATTCAGTTCTAATATTGTATGTATACCTTTTCTTTCAGTGCAAAAGGCTCAGAAAAATGACACTAAGAAACATCATGACAATTCCTTACACACAGGAAATCTTTGGGGAAAATATGCCAGTCTTCCTCTATTTTCAAAGTTTAGCAAGGACACTGTTAACAGGCAGACAATAGGACAAGTGTTTGGGAGTGTTTAATAGATAACAAATTTTAAAAGTTTTCAAAGACTGAATATCTGCCAGTATAATGCTGATGGCCTTTTTAATTTACCCTTGGTATATAGAATAATGTTATGGTAAATATAATTTTCTTATAATTATAAAAATGGAGGAAATCCTTCTTGAATAATTTAAAGATCATTATAAGTCAGTGTGTTACCAATTTCCCTGTACAACCCTTACATAAATACCTGACTTCATTTAAAATTCCATCTTTTGTGTAAAATAAGTAAATAAAAAATATAAAGGAGGGAAAAATTTCCTCATCAGATGTAATCTTAAAAATTAATTTTGTCTAATTGTGTGTCACTTTATTCGCACATTTAATTGTCATCTTACATTTAAATTTTTATTGTGAATCATAGGAAAATGATAGCGTAATTCAGAAATACCTGGTTGAAAATTCAAATTTTAGTGAGATACAATTTCCTTAGCATATACACTTCACGGTGTTCAACCTTTTTCCGCATCTTTTAAAGTAGGCAGGTGAAATATTACATATCATTCTCAAAATATTTGTGTTAAGTTTATAGCTGACTTCCTGGTGTATATCAAATATAAAAGTAGAATTTTGTTATCAAAATATCCTAACACTAAGGTAAGATTAAAATTTTAGTCATCTGTATTATTTTATAATTAAACTTTCAATATTGTATCTCTTTACAATTTATAAATATTGCGAGCGATCTATATTTAAACATGTCTTCTTTTATGCGTGCTTCGTGAAAACAGCTTCCGCTTAGTAAATAACATTGTATACTGGCATGTATTTATGCAAATAAGTAAAAAAAAAATGTTTATTCACTACTGTACTTAGTCAAATCTTAGCTGACTTGCTGATATTTAAATTTGCGCCAAATATTTTAAAGAACGAGTGCACTTATGGGCCCCGGTAAAATGTGAAAAAATAAACAATCAAATTAAGCAAAATTTTTCATTCCAAATCATTAACTGATATCTTCACCGTACGATTCAACAAATTTTACCGCTGAAATTCACGAATATACAAAGAACAAAACCATAGAATGTGGCAGGGGTCAGCCGACATTTGTGATTTTTTATAGGAAATAGAGAACGATCATTCATTTCAAAGCTTTAATTTAATATGAGCCTAACTGTGTACAAACTGTGCGAATGACAAAAGACGCATAATACATTTATAAAACTTGTGTGAAAGTAGGAAATTTGTACACGATTAGGCTGGTACTTAGGCTGGTACTTAGAATATAAAAAATTTACAAAAAGTACAATATTTTTCCAATAGCTAGTGAGTGCTATTCACCTGTATGACCCATGTTGAACCTACGTGTGGAATAAATTATTTAAATACTGATAGTGACGTGCGTTCTACTCAGGTAAACTTTCCTCAAAGGGCTCACTATAAAACATCGGCAGGTTTTGTATCATTTAGTCAGTTGTGCCACTTAGAATTTGTATTTGTGTTTAAGATAACGAGAGGGTAAAGAGAGTTTAATGCCATTCATAAAAGTGTCAAAATTTTTTAACATTCTTGCAAGACATTGAAACAGGTAAATCGAAAGCCACCTAAACACTCCTTTTTAATTTCTAATTCAATGAAACTATCGTTGTATTTTTTTTTAAAATGCAAGAAGGATATGGAGATAACGAACAGTATTCAATCTCAAAGTCCATTAAACAATATACAAAATCAGAGCAAAGCAAACACGGACCTCCGAAACATCAGAGGTGGGCTCAGGTGCCATGGAGGAGTGAGCATCCCCTGCCGACCGGTCACACCCGCCGTGTGCTCGTTGTCATGATCAGGAAATAACGGAAAAAATCCGTCGTCAATTCAGTGTATAAATAATGGACTAACAATTGGTATGAAAAACGTCAGTCAGCATTTGACTCAATGATAAATTGTATTTGCTGACAAGGTCATTGTGTCGACCATAGAACTTACGAAATGATGACTTCAAATGAGACTGCTGATATTCTTGTTTCATCAACTTGCCTGTCAATAATTTACCTCGTTTAAGAAATTGTTCATATGCAAGAGTAGATACCAATTTGTTTGATCATAATGACTACAGGCAACTACACAACTTCATTTAATTTTCTAAAACATATTTGGTAAAAAGTAACATATTCCACAAACGCGCCAGACTATGATCCATCATCAGATTGTGTCGATTTAAATATCTGTTCGCCTTGATTTACATAAACGAAACTAAAAGAAGGGTCGGTACGACTTTTCCGGATTTAGGGTATCCATAGGCATTTAAAAATATTTAATGGTTTCAAATACATGCTGTTTTAGGTGATGCTTAACGTGCATTTTAATCAGAAATATACCGTAGTATCTAAGTATTTCCAACATAGAACGATTTAGTAAGATATTCTAATGTAAAATGGTACATAAAAAGGGCCCATTAAGTATTGCTTAAGTGCACTTGTCCTTTGTAAATATATATTCATTATACCGTTTTATCTTCATATACCTGCGAGCTACTACCGTACACTTTGAAGAAACTTTGATATATACACTGAAATGACAAAATAGACATTGATGAGTTGATGATAGAAGCAGCTCAATAGAATTTGTATTAAGATATTCTTTATCTTTATTATTTTTAATTGATCTAGTTTCATGTTTATATCATCTGCTGTAATATACATGTATACTTTTTATGTGTAGTTCGTCATAAAAAAAATTGTGTTTAAAACTTTAATTCTGTCAGAATGAAGAGGATAAATCTCAGAATTATCTACGTCTTCTTGCATGCCACTTGTACCTGTGCATATCGTAAGAAAATTTAATGTTTATTTTCTCTAAAATTTAGTTCTTTCTAGTTGTTCTTTAACTTTCTGGCTTGATATTCATGTAAATACAGATATAGATAAATAAAGATATCATTATATATGGAAAATCCAATAAAAAGAAAAAAAAATTGGTCGGAATGAAATACTTAAAATAAAAAAGAAAAACATAAAAACTTCAATAAAGTTTTACGTGTTTTTCTTCTTTATTTTTTGAGGATATAATCATATATTCATATAAATACCATAGCAACTAAAATTAAAAATTATTTTATTTCAAATGAAGGATGTGGAGATAACGAACAGTATTCAATATCAAAATCCATAACACAATACAAAAAAGGAGCAGAGAAAACATGGACCTCTAAAACATCAGAGGTGGGAACAGGTGCTATGGAGGAGGGAGCATCCCCTGCTGACCGGTCACATCCGCCATGTGATCCTTGCCATGATAGGGAATTAACGGAAAATAATTCGTCAATTCAGTGTATAAATAATGGAATAACAATTAGTATGAAAAATGTCAGTCAACATTTGACTCAATAATAAGTTGTATTTGGTGACAAGGTCATTGTATCGACCAAAGAACTTACAAAATTATGATTTTACATGAGACTGCTGCTATTCATGTTACATCAACTTGTTTGTCAATTATTTACCTCGATTTAGAAAATTTTTAAAACGTAGAGCATGCTGTTGAGTATCGAATCAACTGAGATATATAAACGCCGTATGCAAGTAATGAAGGTATATTGCTGCATAAGTAAGGGAAGTTGACGATAGAGACGTTAAAATCATCACGTTTATCATAGAACATAGTTGTTAGATTACCATTAACGTCTTTTTAAAGTAAAATATCCAAGTATGAAACAGATGTGTCAGACTCTTTGGAATATTTCATCTGAAGCTCATCAGGATATATCTATTGTAGCAATGCCCAATGATTTTTAAGGAGTCAAAAAATTGTCAGTGTTTTATGTCCATTGTGTAAAGTATAACCCACTGATTCCATATCAGCAATCATTTCTAAAAAATCGGGTGAAAATTAAGCTTTTTATAAATGTATTTAAAATGCAGAATTCTTACAGAATTATCCATCTTTCCGAGGAAAATGATTGGAAAGTGTACATCAGCAAATTAAAAGCAGATAATTCAGGAATGCTAGATTAAAACAATTTTAGATATAACTTAGGTACCAGTTACATGTAGTTAACTTTATCTGAAATTTCATAATATTCTGTTGAGAAGAAAATATGACACAGAATGTAAAATGCAAGAGTTGTCTTCCTTTGTTTTCCTAATTTAAACAGAATAGCTTATGTCTCATTATTCGTTTGCTGTGTTGTCATTTAAAGTAATAAACTTATCAATAAAAATCAAAGTATGATTATAAATGAAGTTTTTATTTGACTTTCACTGTTTTCTTCACCAAAGTAAGTCAATCTTGAAATTTATTCTTGTTCACATTGAGATGAAACCTACTTTCGTTTTCGCACACGAAATAGCCTTTGCACGAAATTTAATTATTAAAATGCTTATTAATAAGCATAGTTCAAAAACAAAAATATAACATTGTATCACCTTGACAATGAAGTAAACAGACCGTCAGACGTTCAATTCACAGTGTTTACATATTTTTCAACACGCATGTTTGCTGCCATTCTGGATATGAACGATCCGAATTTGCTCCAGTACCTTAGAAAATTCGTATGGCGAACAAGAACGGTTGAATATTTGCCTGCATGTGATAAGCATTTGTAGTATTTTAACAGAGGAAGCTACTTATGCATGTTTTGACACATTACTCGTCCGTATATGAAAATTAGAGATTTTTTTAATTTTTCAATCTATTTTTAAAACGACTAATCGCGCCATACTTCAAACATTCAGGGTTGGTAATACTAGGGGGCATCTCAAACTTCATAGAAAAGTCATCAAAACGTTTGAAAACACGAGGGAAAGTAGTTTATTAAGCCGTTTTTTTCAAGCTCTTTTCTGATACGGAATCAAAACGAGGCTGAGGAAATCTGAAAAGTTATCTCCCCCTTGCTTGGGCATTGCTATAACTATTGACATAGGAATTGAAATTACCATCGTTAATGAACAATACGTCATCGATATATCTAAATGTCGAGTTGAAGGCCACAGCTCAGCTCAGGTGAGCTTTTCTGATCACATTTTGTCGGTCGTCCGTCCGCCTGTCTGACCGTCCGTCCGTCTGTAAACTTTTCACATTTTCGACTTCTTCTCAAGAACCACTAGGCCAATTTTGACCAAACTTGGTACAAAGCATTCTTGCGTGAAGAGAAATTTAAATTGTTAAAATGAAGGGTCAAGTCTCCTCACAAGGGGAGATAATCAAGAAAAGACCAAAATAGGGTTGGGTCATTAAAAAATCTTCTCCTCAAGAACCACTGGGCAAATAAGGCTTAAACTGATGTGGAGGCACCCTGGGATAGAGTAGATTCTATATTGCTCAAATCATGACCCCGGGGGTTGGGCGGGGCCAAAATGGGGAATCAAAGTTTAACATTGAAATATTTTGGAAAAATCTTTGAAAATCTTCTTCTCAAGAACCACTGGGCAAGAAAAGCTGAAACTGATGTGGAAGCACCCTGGTGTAGTGTAGATTCTAAGTTATTCAAATCATGACCCCCGGGAGTAGGACGGGGTCACAATGTGGAATCAACGTTTTACATAGAAATATATAGGGAAAATCTTTGAAAATCTTCTCAAGAACCACTGGGCCAGAAAAGCTGAAACTCATGTGGTAGCATTGTGGGGTAGCGTATATTCTAAATTGTTCAAATCATGACCCCTGGGGGTTGGGCGGGGCCACAATGGGGATTCAAAGTTTAACATAGAAATATATAGGGAAAATCTTCTTCTCAAGAACCACTGGGCCAGAAAAGTTGAAACTCATGTGGTAGCATTGTTGGGTAGTGTTGATTCTAAATTGTTCAAATCATGAACCAATGCGGAATCAAAATTTTACATAGAAATATATAGGGAAAATCTTTGAAAATCTTCTCAACAACCACTGGGCCAGAAAAGCTGAAACTCATGTGGTAGCTTTGTGGGGTAGCGTAAATTTTAAATTGTTCAAATCATGACCCCTGGGGGTTGGGCGGGGCCACAATGGGGAATCAAAGTTTAACATAGAAATATTTTGGAAAAATCTTTGAAAATCTTCTTCTCAAGAACCACTGGGCAAGAAAAGATGAAACTGATGTGGAAGCATCCTCAGGTGGTGTAGATTCTAAATTGTTCAAATCATGAACCCCGGGGGTAGGGCGGGGCCACAATGGGGAATCAAAGTTTAACATAGAAATATATAGGGAAAATCTTCTTCTCAAGAACCACTGGGCAAGAAAAGTTGAAACTCATGTGGTAGCATTGTTGGGTAGTGTTGATTCTAAATTGTTCAAATCATGAACCAATGCGGAATCAAAATTTTACATAGAAATATATAGGGAAAATCTTTGAAAATCTTCTCAACAACCACTGGGCCAGAAAAGCTGAAACTCATGTGGTAGCATTGTGGGGTAGCGTAGATTTTAAATTGTTCAAATCATGACCCCTGGGGGTTGGGCGGGGCCACAATGGGGAATCAAAGTTTAACATTGAAATATTTTGGAAAAATCTTTGAAAATCTTCTTCTCAAGAACCACTGGGCAAGAAAAGATGAAACTGATGTGGAAGCATCCTCAGGTGGTGTAGATTCTAAATTGTTCAAATCATGAACCCCGGGAGTAGGGCGGGGCCACAATGGGGAATCAAAGTTTAACATAGAAATATATAGGGAAAATCTTTGAAAATCTTCTTCTCAAGAACCACTGGGCCAGAAAAGTTGAAACTCATGTGGTAGCATTGTTGGGTAGTGTTGATTCTAAATTGTTCAAATCATGACCCCTGGGGGTTGGGCGGTGCCACAATGGTGAATCAAAGTCTTACATAGAAATATTTTGGAAAAATCTTTGAAAATCTTCCTCTCAAGAACCACTAGGCCAGAAAAGCTGAAAGTGATGTAGAAGCACCCTGGGGTAGTGAAGATTCTAAATTGTTCAAATCATGACCCCCGGGAGTAGGGCGGGGCCACAATGGGGAATCAAAGATTTACATAGAAATATACAGGAAAAATCTTTGAAAATCTTCTTCTCAAGAACCACTGGGCTAGAAAAGCTGAAACTGATGTGGAAGCACCCTGGGGTAGTGTAGATTCTAAGTTGTTCTAATCATGACCCCGGGGGTAGGGCGAGACCACAATATGTATTACAAGGGGGAAATCTGGTAAAGAACAATATGACAAAAGATTCTCAGGTGAGCGATGTGGCCCATGGGCCTCTTGTTTCTTTTCACGCATAAGATTTTGCACAAATTCTGCTTCATATGAATACAAAAATAGGTCTGCTAATAAGGGAGTGCAATTGCTGCTTATGTGAATTCCAATAGAGTGTTGGATGACCTGGACAAATAATTCAATTAAAGCAATTGATGAGTCTATAGTCAAAAGAGTGAGAGGTCAGTGTCGTATTGTTTTGCACAGTAACTGATTTAAAAGAAAATCACACTGTTTTGATCTACACAATAAAACTACAAAAATGTCTTTTAAGAGGAAACGAACAATATTCAACCTTTATAGTCCATTCAGACAATACAAATCAGCAGAAAAGTAAGCGCAGACATCTTAATTATCAGAGGTAGAATCAAGTGTCATGAAGGATCATACCCTGTATTCATCACCTGCCGACTGAATACATACCCCGGTATGTTCTTTGCTTCTATTCGTGATCAAGAAAAACAGAAAATATCTTCAGACAGTTTAGAGCATATGTAATGGCCTTACAATTTCTACCAACAAGTTCATCAGTATTCGACTTAAGGATAGTTTGAATTTGCAGCCAAGATTATTGAATTGTCCTTTGCAATTTTGAAATGCGAACGTTAAACAAATCTGTCCATATTCTTATTCCATCAAGGTCTCTCGTTTTACAAATTGTTCGTATAAAGAGCCTGCTCTTGCCCATCGAATGAACGAAATAAAGTCAATATGCAGGTGATAACTACATATTTCTACACATGTAATGGAAATTAACAATTAAAATGATGAAGTCACCTCAGTTATCATAAAACTTCTGTACGTTTACATAGAGAGCAACAGTGAAATCAATTTTGCATACGCTTTTTTCTTTTATATATCTTCGCAAAGAATTTAAAATCTTTTAAAATTAAACGTGCATTGTCTTTCGATAGAAAATTTATCATTAGGGAAACCTGCTTGGCAGAAATCCAATTACCCAGGAGCCAGGACATGGGGAGCTGACAAAGCTGTGGATGGGAATTATACTTATCGTGGAGCACTTGGCAATCAGTGTACGATATCAGCAGATTATCAACAGACAGCAGAGTGGAGAGTGGATCTAGAGAGTGTGGTCAGCATCAGTCACATCAACATCTTCTACAGGACGGATAATCGTCCCAGTGTGTAGGATAAACCATATTTTTGTACATATATGAACAATATATAAAAATTGTATACAAGGCAATACAATCGATCGGTTTCATTTCAGGTCCAAGTGGGTACGAAAGCAGATTTGCAGGATTTTTCCTCTACATTTCAAACACGACTTCAAAAGATGATGGTTTCCTTTGTTTCCACGAGATACAGAACGTTAGTGGCACACCTATAGAGGATCAGCGAATCAACTGCTCTCTTAATGGACGTTATGTGATATACTATAATGAACGGAGACCTGACGTGGTTTACCCTGATTACTACTCCACGTACGCATTCAATGAATTGTGTGAATTGGAAGTCTACGGTAAATTGCAGAACCTAACTGCATGTTTTACTGTTCTTTTTCAATAAAAAAAAATGATTAAGAAAACAAAATGTAAATTCTTCCAGAGAGATTAAATGTCCGATCATCTTTCATATATAATCAACTGTTCTGTGTATGGACGTTATGTGATATATTACAATGAAAGGACACCAAATGTGACTTACCGTGATTACTACTCTACGTACGCATTCAATGAATTATGTGAATTGGAAGTATACGGTAAATTGCAGAATATTCATAACTGCATGTTTTAATGTTCTTTTTTAATAAAAGAAAATGTTTAAGAAAACAACTATGTACCAAACAAGTAAGGACATCTTTACTTTGTCAAATCAATTATTTAATGGTTGAATGGTTTTCATGCCATTACCGATAGTTAATTTTTTAGCCCTCTTAACAGATAACATTTAAATAAAACACCCCCCCCCCCTTCCGACCATTTAATCAAAACATGCTATTCCGCCATTTACAACATACATGTACGCAGTCCGATTTCTACCGTGCATTAGGTTTATCAATGTCTTTATCTGAGCGAAATAAATATTCTTGGGCATTTTTAATTGCCTGTTGTTCAGATACTGCGGTCGAATTTTCTCTAACTTGGCGTAGTGTAGTAACTCTTGGACTTCCGGTCAAAAAACTGTTATTTATCTATTGAAACACATAAGCCTGATGAGTCGTTAAATAGTGTACATTTGCATCTGCACTATTTTTTTTTCTTTATTTTGAGAATCTCCAGCATTAGCAATGAAAATGAGTCATTTTGAGGAAATATAGGCATCACATCTGGTAAAGAAAGAAGGATTTTTTCCCGAGATTTTAGTACAATACTTGTGATAAACAGCTACAAAACCTTGAAAACCCAAAATATTGTTAAAAATTTTATTAAAAATGCAAAAATTTGATTTCTGTTAAGAGGGCTAAAAAGCAACTTCTGGTAGAGGAAAGAAGTTCATTCAACCGTTATATAACTGATCTAGCAAAATAAAAAATGTCCTAACTTTTTTGCTATAGTTATAACCCGTATATACTTTTCACCCTAATATTAGAGTGTTGCGTTTTCATTGACGGTGAGTATATATATTGCTCTTTCAAAGAAATATTTAAAAAAAAAAACAAGTTCTACATAAATAAACTGTGTCGTGTGTTTTTATTTTTAATAGATCATGAACTTGAAAATAAATATTAATTTTAGATAGTCCGGAAAAAATATAGTATTAATAAACAGAGATAAAATATAACCATTTGTTTAACAGGATGCCCTGTTCCTGGATATTATGGAGACTACTGTAATCAGTCATGTCCAGTAACATGCCAGGGACAGCAGTGTGACGCCGTGACAGGGCAATGTGTAAAGGGATGCTTATCAGGATATGCTGGTTTGCAATGTAATTATAGTAAGTAATTTCTTCCAATTTGTCGAAAAAATTCCCAAGAAGAAACAAAGAATTTAATTTTTTTTCTAGCCAAGGTAATGGTATTGTCCATTGCAATTTTCTATATGTTACCTTTAAACAAATCTCTTCATATTTATGTTTCATTAAAGTCTTTGACAATAGCATATCTAGATTTAGAAATTGTTTTTATAAAAAGCCTGCATTTCCGTGTCAAAATGACTAGATCAACTCAATACGCAATATGATAATGATATATTACTAAACATGTAAAAAAAATTAAATACCTTTAATATCGGTAATTAAATTGATAAGGTCAACACTGTCATCATAAAAAATCTTAATGTACATATATAGAATAACAGTGAAATTTCATAACACAAAGTAGCTTTTCATTACATATCTTTGCATAAAATTAATAACTCTAATTACTATTTTTAAAATGATAAGTGCATTGTTGTCTTTTAATAGAAAATTTAGCATTACGGAAACCTGCCTGGCAGAGAGCCAATTACTCACAACCCCGGCCATGGGGAGCAGGAAAGGCTGTGGATGGGAAGTATACTGATCGCGGAGCAAATGGTAACCAGTGTACAATATCAGCAGTTGAACAATTGACAGCAGAGTGGAGAGTGGATTTAGGTAGTGTGGTCAGCATCAGTTACATCAACATCTTCTACAGGACGGATAATTATCTTAGTATGTAGTATGAACGTTGTTTTATTTATTTATTACATACTAAGTTATAAATACAGGATTTTTGAATATGCGATATGCCTGAAGTCACAATAGCCGTATCAGCCCTGCAGGTATGATATGGATTTGCTGTGCTGATACGGATCGATGTAACACCCCTAGTAAATTAAACCAACAAAACGGTACTTGTGATCATACACATGTTTTGGGGTTACGTATATCTTAATTTTATTTTTTTGAATGTAAGGATTGTCTAATTGACAAAGAAAAGATTATATTCAAATAACGAATCGGGCACATTTGAAAATGGAGTACATGAAGAAACAAACCCAAACCGTATGACAACAATTAACTGTGTACATGTAAGAAGTCAGTGCATGATTATTTACTAATTTTCTTCTCAACTGAATGTGAACTGTATTTTATTACTAGAAATACCCTCTTTCTTGTCACATCTTGTATCAGCCCTCGACCAATATCAGTCCTCGGGCCTTCGGCGCTCTGGCTGATATTGCTGCCTCGGGCTGATACAGGATGTGATATGGAAAAGGGTATGTATTATTATGTATGTACATCCATGACCAGTATATATAATTTGTTAAAATTAAAATTAAAATCGATCGGTTCCATTTCAGGTCCAAGTGCGTACACTGGCAGATTTGCTGGATTTTTCCTCTTCATTTCAAACACGACTTCAAAAGATGATGGCTACCTTTGTTTCCACGAGATACAGAATGTGAGTGGTACACCTATAGAGGATCAGAGAATCAACTGTTCTGTCTATGGACGTTATGTGATATATTATAATGAAAGGAGACCGAATGTGACTTATCCTAACTATTACTCTCAGTACGCATACAATGAATTGTGTGAATTGGAAGTATATGGTAAATTACAGAACATTACTGCATTTTTTTTTTTATTAAAATGCAAAAGGAATTCAACAAGTGGTTGCAAGCATAATAAAAATTTATGTATTTCACATTTCAAGAAACATAACTTGTAAATTGGTATCCTGAGTTTTTGAGTTACTTTCAATATACTTAATATCTGTGGATAATCTGGACAGATAAAACTATTGATTAACAGAAATTTCAAAAAAATAATACAATTTGTTAAATAGGATGCCATATTCCAGGATATTATGGAGAATTTTGTAATCAAACATGTCCAGTCAATTGCCAGAGACAGCAGTGTGATGTCGTAAATGGTGACTGTGTAAATGGATGTTTACCAGGATATATAGGTCTGAAATGTGGTGATAGTAAGTGATTTCCCTCCATTTGTTAAAAATATTTCCAAAAAGGAATTATAAATATATATATATATATATATATATATATATATATATATATATATATATATATATATATATATATATATATATATATATTTGCAATTTATATGAATGCCCACTCCTCCATGGCACCTGATCCCACCTCTGATGTTTCAGAGGTCCATGTTTGTTCTGCTCCTGGGTCCGCTGTCATAAAACTTTGAGAATTCTTTAAAATAATCCTCAACTCAAATCTTCAGAATTACGAAGCTGAGAATTTGATAATAAAAGAGTTTAAGGTATTTTTTATTTTTCTCAACTTTTTTATGACGGCCGCTGAGTCTGAGAATTCTGGATTTGAGAAAATCCTCAGACTTGAGAGCATTCTCAGACTTAAGCATATTTTATAACAACGGACCCTGTTTTTTATTCCTTTATGGACTATGATATTGAATACTGTTCGTTATTTCCTTCATTTAATAAGTAAAACACTGAAGAGTCAGTAGGTTATTTTATTTTAATCACCTCAGATCTGAGTTGGAGGGGATATAGAAACGCGTTTATGTGTATTTTTGCGTATGTGTTAGTTTGTCTATAGGCAAAACAGAAGTTGTGTAATTTCTATTAGACTCGACTTCAAATAATGTCTAAAAAAGCTTTTTCTACGACAATTAAGTGTTATATTATTATAAGAAAATGCTTTCGGATCATTTCGTTCAACATACTCTTTCTTGTTTCCTTGTTTGTTATATACCTCAATACAAAGACAAAACAAAAAGATGATACTGTATATAAAATAATTGAATATACCATGATTATTTACATTTTAAGAATGGCAGCTAATAGCGAAGATTACAGTTTTTCATATGCAAGCCAAAACTTAAGTCAAACTTCAAGATCATATTTTTATTTATTAGAGAAATGCCTTTTCACAAAGTATAACCTTGTGAAATACAAAAGTCCTGATTCTAACTGTTTAAAAATTATGTCCAAGGTTAAAGTTTTTTAGGAATTGGGTCAAAATTTGAGTTCAATGTTAAAAATATTTAAAACTATTGAAAAGTTGTGTCACAATGAATGCACATGTTAAGTATGAAAGCTTTAGATCAAAATGTTACAAAGTTATAGCCAAGGTTAAGTATTTTTTAAGTGGGTTCAACCCTAAGATCAAGGTAAAAGGGTTTCATTTGGTGGTGTCCGAAGAAAGGTCTTGTCACAAGGAATGAACTTGTGAAAAATTAAAATCATAGCACCACAAAGTAAAATGTTACGGACAGCGTTTAAGTTTCATTTTTGTAGACAAACTGACAAACATACAGACGCTCAGACGGAAACATTAAAAAAAAACTTTATACCCAAAGATCTTCGATTACGGGTTTTTAAAATATCTTCCATTAATTTTCAGAATGTGGCGGAGGAACATATGGTGTTAACTGCACTCAGTCCTGTGGTCACTGCTTAAACAATGAACAGTGTCATCATATCAACGGTACTTGTTTACAGGGTTGTTCTCCTGGATACAAGGGACCGGGCTGCAAAGCTAGTAATTATCAATCTATATTAAATTGATTTTGATAAAGAATATGAAAAGAATATGAAAAAGCCTATATAGGATTCTACAACGTATACATATACATAATTGTTTCATCACTTCTATACTGTATATCACAATGAAATCATATAACTTAATTATATTTCAATTTTGCAAAATAAAACAGAAAAATGTTCAATAGAAGAATATCAACTTATAAACAAATACAGACAAAATGATATCGATATCATAATGGTTTATAAAACTTTTAAAATATCTAGAATGTGATAGTGGGATGTATGGTATTAACTGCAATCAAGTATGTGGTCATTGCATTAATTATGAACAATGTCATCATATCAACGGTAGTTGTTTACAAGGATGTTCTCAAGGATATAAGGGATCTCTCTGCAATTCTGGTAAATTATTAGCATCCTTGCTTCTTTCTGCAATTCTGGTATGGTATTAACGTCTTTGCTTGTTCTTTGAACATTGTAAATATATTATTGGCATATTCAGATATTAACTTCGAAATACATTCTTTTTTTAATTTTCTATTTTGATACAAATGAAAACAAATACATGTAGTAAGGAATAGTAAGGAAAATTTCTGAATTCAAAATAGCTTGTGATGATGGCTTGTATGGGGAAAACTGCAACCAAAGCTGTGGACATTGTATTAACAATATTCAGTGTAACCACGTTAATGGTTTATGTTATGAAGGATGCTCCGTAGGATTCAAAGGATTACTTTGCGACAACGGTATCCTATTTTCAATTCCATGTCAATTATTTCGAATCTTTAATATATGTTCATATTATGGTTTCTTCCCAAACCTTTGTATATTCAGCATGTGACGGTGGAATGTATGGCGTTAATTGCAATCGAGTATGTGGTCATTGTCTGAACAATGAGCAGTGCCATCATATCAACGGCACCTGTTTACAAGGATGTTCAAAAGGATACAGGAGAACCCTCTGCAAAATTGGTATTTTTTTTGTAGTGATGGGGGTTGGGCGTGAAGAATCCGTGTGTAGGTTTGTTTATGGCATCTAAATCTAGAACAATAACATGCACAACTAACAAAGATATCACAAACTTATTTAAATTTGTTTACATCTTCTGAATTTCAATTCTCTTTACTTATTTATTCGTGATCTCTCATATTACATGTAGATATTCAACTTTTATTTGTCATTTACTTCCCTGGATTTGCAAAATTTAGTAGTTATACACAATTAAAATACTTATTAATGATAATAAATTATTGTTTTTTAAGCTTTAAGGAGGCGGGGGGGGGGGGGGGGTCATCAAATTAACCACCAGATTTAACTAATTTTTTTAGATACGGTATCTTAAGCTGTCAATCATCATTTGGCAAAGGAAAAATTCGTACATTTTAGTTTTAAAATTTGATCGTTTTTGTATATCTTAATATGGAGCTCTTCTTCTAAAGGAGATCGAAATAGTCTGAAAATGGCTGCAACCCTCCAGCTTCTTTAGATTATAGAGCTGTTATTTTCAATATTGTGTGTGTAATAGAAAACAAGTTTTTTGGAAGATTAGTTGAAACTAAACATAGATTTTTCCCCTAGAAAAGTTAGATTAACATGTTTGTACTAAAAAAACAGAATAGGATATCAGTAATGATATTTTTAATAGCGTGTGAAGTTGGAAAGTATGGCTATAACTGCAATGAAAGCTGTAGACACTGTATGCACAATACCACGTGTAACCACGTCAACGGTACATGTCAAGAAGGATGTTCTGTGGGATACCACGGGCCTCTTTGTACAAATGGTATGAAAAATACGTTTCATTTTGTAATGTTTGTTTATTTGAAAGTTTTTTTTTTTATTCAATTTCATCTTTTATGCCAGGAGAATTATTATCTTTTTTGTGTGCTCTATCATGAAAAACTTCATTATGTACTTCTTTGATACACGGGTTGAACGTTAATGTCCTTCAACCTGTTAATTGTTTTGTAGTTTGCAGTCGATCGCACTGGGGAGTCAATTGTAAAGAGACCTGTAGTACAGAGTGTGTCAGCCAGACTTGTCATCACGAGTCAGGACATTGTCTATTAAACGCACAGGTAATGTAACTAATAAAACATACGAAGGACAAAGCCTCTTAAAAAAAAGATTTGAAACAGGTGATGAAATAATCAAATCTATTTTATTTGTAGTTGAAACCAATTTCATTTTGTGATAAACTATAAATACATAATTATGTCGCAAATGTTCTATATTTAAATTGTAGTCCTTTTTGTCCAAATTTTTGCAGGCACAGTTTTCCAACACATGTAAGAATGACTATACAATTACCATTACCAGTGTTGTTGTCTGTATTTTAATTGTGTTGATGAGCAGTCTCCTAAATTTTGTCATCTGGAGGAAAATGCAGCGTACGTAAATGTTTTATTCTATCATTGTCATTTATGTGTCTTTTAAACTGCTCCGAAAAAGCCAATTTAAACTTAACATTTCCAAAAAAAAAAAATAAAGAAAGAAAAGAAAAAAACAGATTCCTGTTCTTTTAAGAAAAAAGTAATACTTTTTAACATATCATATAATAGGAAGACATTAATCAATAGACTCAGTGCTTTTACAGAATCCGTTAAAAATGGTACACGATAAGACATCTTCTTTTTTTTTAAAAAATAATCCTTCTGTATCAATGTATTCAACTTTTTTTTTACAGAAAAAGGGGCGGTTTTAGACACCCCAAATGACAAAGACTATTACAACGAATTCCCATCTGTTCGTATAGGAGGTATGATAAAATATACACATGTAAAGGGCATTTTGATCATATTAACACTGTAATATGAACAAAGTTAACGATGAAATTCAATGGTGTTCAATTCGATGTCTACAATATTAGTTGAAGTATCCAATCAATACCACTGTATTTTGAAATCATCTTCTTAAAAGATTAAAGCTAATGCTATGTTTAAAAAAAACTCCATTTCATTCATTCTTGAGTAAGAATTATATAATTGGTCTGCAAATGATGACGACTGTTGGGAAAATGTTAAAGAACTACAAAGTGTAAAGCTGTTGTTAACAAATGAAATGTCGATCACATAACATGTGAAAAAAAAGGGACACTTTATCAGGAAGGTAGTAATTTTTAAGCTTATAATTTTCAGATAAACAGAGTGGGCAAGATATGTATGTATTGTCTTATTCACTTATATATTGAACTTTTTCACTTTACTTAAAACCTTTTCCAGGATTGATTTCTAAATATTTTTTACTCTGACAGGAATATTTCCCCTTATGCAGAACTAACAGAACTTGACCACACCAACACTTATGAACAAATTCATCGACATGTAAAAGCAGACGAGAAAATGTAGATGGTGGCGTTCATTTCTTATTGAGAAGACATCTGTCAAATACTCTCAGCTTTGATAGGCATTTTTTATCTTTCTTCACATATCCCAACCATAATCTCCTTCTACACCATGTTGTGGAGAAGAGATTGCTGATATCCATGTGTTTACGTATAAGCTTGTACTCAACATTGATATAAAACCATTCCACATGTACCCTAAATTATGATAGTATTGTTCTCCCGCCTACCTCCAAGTCAATTTTCAAAAGTTAACATGTTCGATGATTTTTTTTACTTTTTATAGATAATTATATGGATTTTCATAAACAATTATTTATTTGGGAAAACTAAGAGAGATAACTCTATAATTTTGGTAAAACTTGTGTTTTTCACTATGGAAATCAATGGAAAACGGAAAATATTTTTAAAACATCTCCCCCCCCCCGTGTCACAAAAATTCTTTTTAGAGGTAATATGGAATGGTATTTAACAAATTCATACCAAACCTTTTTGTGAGACACGGGGGGGGGGGACATATGTTTATTGACAAAAAACGATAAAAATGCTTATTTTCTACCAATTTCAAAGCGATATACAACTGAAACATTATATTCTATTGAATTATATATTTATGTTTTATTTATTTGCCTAAAACATAAGAAAAGATATAAGGAACATTTAATCATATCCAAGACTATTTCAAAATACGGTGATGCTTGAAACTCCGATTTCAATGGAAAATATCGTCTACCCCCCTTTTTTCAAGAGCTGGATTTATGGATAATTTACTGTTAAGCGCTGGTATTAGGACGACTTATCAATTACCATTAAACTGTTCTTTGTATTAAACAAAGATTTTATGGCCAAATTGCTATTCATATTGAATAAATTGGTTCCAAAATGTAGGCGGGAATCGAGAGTTAGCGTGCGTGTTTCTTTGAATATTTCTTTAAATGTATTCTGTGTCAAATTTATTTACTAATTGGACTTTTGTACACCTCTCAACGGAATTCTATAACAACACATTATTGAGGAAGGAGATTATAGTAATGCTAATGTTCAAAGGTTTTAACTTTACGTTGTCCACAATTATTATAATTGTTTTCTACCTCAGCCTATGATGAGCCAGAAAAATTTAATTACTACAAACTGCATATCATTTTTTTTCAATTTTGTATCTATAAAGTATGCATTCAAGATCTAAACACATATTTGAAGGGAATATTTTTCTCTGATTTTAGTACAAAAGAGAAAAGTAATATGTTGTTTCAGCTTTACAAACATTCTCTATATTATAATATGCAAAACATTATTTTTTCTTAATTTTTTTTTTTCAAATTATGAATTTGAGACGCGTTGAAATGTCAGATATCCTTTCACTTTTTTGAATTAATATTTATTAATAAAATTTAATAAAAAGTACTTTCTAAAGGTTCTGTTGTATTTCTCAAATTTTCTACGACTTAAGTAAACTTAAATACCACCATATGGCATGGAAACAGAAAGAGTGTGCAATAATATTTTGCATCTGCAATATTTAGTTCCTGAGATAACTGTGACGGATATTTGGTATAGAGAGATGCGGGGAGTAAGTGGAAGTTGACATCGGATGATTTGCAATGATTCCTATGATTTAATATGCGCAAAAAAGAGTGTGTTCAAATTTTTAAACATTTGTATTAAGTACATGCTTAGAAAACTGCTACAGAACTTTAGAAAGGACATCCACACGGATAAACATAAAGTTGATATGGGGTTTGTACAAAAATGAAACCCACCAAATGACATACTTAAGCAAGGACTGTGCTTAAATTTTAAACATTTAAAAAAAAAAGTAATTACAAAAAAAACTAAAAAGCGATGAAAAATTGTTTTGAACAGTCGCATTAAAATACAGACAGGCATGCTAGGCATTTTTTAATCTTACTTGTGAATATTCAGAATTGTGGACCTTCAAAATAGTGGATGGTCGGATTTTTTAGGCCGTTGGACAAATGGATCATCGGACTAGAGGGGATATCCAGAGACCTGAACATAATACATCTATTAACAGAAAAAATCTTTCTTCATGTCATGTGAAAAAAGGTTACACGTTTTTACATTTTATTTTTACATGACAGCTTTAGTTTAATAACTTTTAATGGTTTGTACTGACAATACTTCAACTTATTTTGAATATTCATAAACATGATATACAATCTTAAGATAAAAAGCTATTAGTCAGAAAGTTTCGCGACTTCCCCCTCCACAATAAGTCTATTGCAATGAGCGTAATGTCATTTCCAATTTAAACTTAGACAGGTGTACTAGTTTAAACAAGAGATAATATTCGCAATGCATGTACAAGGAATATTTTACCAGATTTTCTAAAGTGTATTCGTATCAAAGTGCATATAAAAGAAATATTTTAATGTTGGAAAAGAATATTCCACACTATTTATTTTGAGATTTTGCATTTTGAGTAAACAAGCAAAAATTACAGAGGAAGGTTACTTATACTGTAAAACCACATTGTTTGAGTGGATGCTACAAGAAGAAGGTACGGTATGGGCTTTATTGTGCCCTAAAAATTTCATGTTCTTAAAAATTTATGAAATGGACTTTTACAAAAGCTGAGTAGATAAATATGATAAGTCATTAAAGAATATGGCATGAAGGATAACCTTTCTGGAAATATGACGTCACTTATTTGGTATATTTCTAAATTAAATGCAGAATTACTTCAGAATGACTCATTTAAAGCTGAAGGTATCTTGCTGCATAATTAAGGAAAATGGATGATTGTAAAGTTAAAGTGAATAAATTTTTCATAACGCTTGTTTATTAGGTTACCAAGTCTTTCTTTTTCAAGTAAAATATCCAAATATGAAACAGATGTGTTAGACTCTGTGGTATCTTTTCTAGAGACAAAGGTTTGTACATGTAATTAACTAATAAAGATAATTTGAAGCTTTGAATGAATAAAAATTTCACATTAGTATATGTCAGAATAGTAAAACCGATCTAGCTACACCAGCGGCAATTTAGTTGAAAAGAACCGGATTCACTTGAGGTTTACATTCACTTTGTATTCTGACGTTTAATAATTCCTTTGTTTTTAACCAACGTGCAAAAATATACTCACATGCATCATTCATCTATACTGGGTAGCATATTTATTGATAGCCATAATGATATTGAGATCATAAACGGTGATCGATTTTATAAATCATTTACAGGGTAAAATTACAGAAGGCTTTGAACACAAGAAATACATTAAGTATAAAGAACCTAGGAGAAGTAATAGAATATTTAGAGATAACGAACTGTATTCAAGCGCAAAAGACTATCAAACAATCTAAAATATCGGTAGTGTGATCAGGTGCCATGGAGGACATGGGCATCTCCTGCCAATCGGTCAGACCCGGCGTTTGCTTCTTTTCGACATATAACGGTAAAATTTGTCGACAATTCAGTGTGTAAAAATAGCCAAACAATTAGTATAAAAACGTCATTAGGCATATGAATGACATATATTGTATTTACTGACAAGTTCATTGTATCGACCATAGAACATACGAAATGATCATATGGAGAAATAGTGTTCATTCTGCTCATTTGCATATCAGCCATTTAGGAACTATAATGGCGGCCGATTTCATGAAGGTTTATAGAGAGAAAATACAAAAAAAAGCAATTTTTAATATCCTTTCCGATGAAGTTCTTCCGCCAATGGTTTGATTCTACCTTATATTTTCTTCCGGAAATGACAAGATTGTAAAAACCAAAGTGAAAGCCTTTTCAATTTAAAAATTCGAAGCGAGAGTGAATTGTTTTAATGAAGGAAGGAGTACAGAAATGGTGTTTTTATCATTTTTGATGATGAAATGTAAGAGTTTATTGCAAGTTGATAGAGTTCCTCCGCCGATTTAAAGGTACATAAGGGGGCCTATTTTTATAAAATACACACGATTTACTATTCCATCACGCAGCATTGTTAAGGCTTGAAAAAGGGGGCGGGGCCTAATTTATACGGGAAAAGTTTACTGTGACGTCACACAAAAACATAACTGTTAATGCATTTCTCATAATACGTGAAAATGAAACAATTTGCAACTTTAAACTATATTAGCATAATAAACAATAAAATAACTTATCAATGCATTAAAAATGTTGCTAGTTAAATCCCACGTAGCTGGGTATAAACATGGTACTGATCGCGATGAACTTGTAAACATGACGTCATATTGGTAAACATGACGTATTTCATGTGCTGTGAGAGGCAGATTGAGGAATTTTTTAACAATGAAAAATGCGTCTTATTATTAAACGGAATATTATTTACAGGTTTTAAACAGTCGATTAATACCAAAGAATATCCTTTGTTTAGTGCGATTATTAATTAACTACCAAGAGAATGTATTTTGTTAATTATGTCGTGTTTTTATGTACAGGTTACTTATATTTTACATCGAGATGCCTCATAAAATCGTACTTTCGCAAGGGCATACACTACATAGATATGAACTATTTTTTGAATATAGATAAAGGGTATTTTCCTTAACTTGAAAAGTGCTGCTGCTTTCTTTAAATCGAGGGCGTGATTTTATAAGTACACAATATATTTGGTAAAAGTCAAACATATTTCGACATTGGCCTATTCACTTTAAGATTAAACTATTAAAACGCGAATTCTATTCCAAGCAGCAGCACTTTTCAGATACTTCAAAGTATGCAGAAACAATTAATAGTTTAAACTTTTTATTTCAACTAGGGTATGCCCTTGCGATATTGAAATTTGTTAATGACCTACATTCAGTACACGAACTATGCATTCATCACATGACTGTCCATTGATGGGACTAAATTTCATACAGTACAGAGTGGGTTATACTATGCTATTTCCATAAGTATTAAAGTTCTGTAATAATAAAACAGCTTAATTAAGATAAATTCAATTTTTAAACAATCCCCCTTTTTTGCACGTCTATTTTCCGTTGATTTCACATAGTAGGCCTTAACAGTGCTGCGCAGGAGTTACGA